GCCACATTGTCTGCTGCATAATTGCTCATATCTAATCCTTCTGAAGAAAAGTCGATGACAACATTCAATTTGTCTCTGAATCTTTCTGTTGGAGAGAATCTTAAACGGATTACTGAAATACTGGGAAATTTATGGATTGATAGGGATTTTGTGCATTTTCTTATTTCCTAGTACCTCGAACACGTTGGTTTTTCATCTCCATCCAGAGTTTCCTCTCTTGTGAAGGAATCTAGACATTGTGACAAACTCAACTGGTCAGTTCTTGGTGGTATGTCGAGGGAAAAATCCCAGAAAGAATCGAAGATTACTGAAGAGTGTCCACGTGAGTACTTCATAGTGGATTTTAATTGACCAACGAAATTGTCTACAATTTTAGAGTTGTTTATGTTTAAATATCTCAACCAGGACTCTTGCCCTTTTCCGGTGTCACTCAAATTTTCGTCAATCTCCGTTAAGATCGGTTTAGGTTTCTCAGTAATTCTATTGAGGTCCTCATGTAAACCTTCTAAAAGATATCGAAGGAATTCCTGAGCGTCTTGATGGGCAGATCCCATGAATCGAGGGGGAAATTTTTGAATTTGACTTTTCAAGTAAGCAGTGTTTATTACTCTATCAGATGAATCTTCTGACCACAATTCCTTGATAACTTCTACGAACGCTTTGATTAAGGCACCTTTCATAGTAGAAATACTAGTATTGATATCTTCTATGTATGTATCATTTTTTAAATATTCCAGCAACCATCTCGTGTTTGATAAACATTGGATTACACTGTTCACGAAACAGGGGTTTCCAATGTTTTTCAACCTATCAAACCTAAGAATTCTCAATGAAGAATGTATCACTGAACTAATGTTGTAACTGTGGATTCTACGTTTGCTACTGATGTCTTCTTCTGAGTAATCACGGATTGGATGATTCACCCTTTCATTGGATCGGTGAGATAAGGAATTCGAAGCTGAACTGTCCAAAACTGAATTGGATATGGCTGACGTATTGAATTTGGTAGAAGAAGATAATTCTAGAACTTGATCATATTTCTCAGTATCTTCTGAAGGGAACTTATGGGAAGTAATACAAGAAATATGGGAGGTTTTATGAGGAAACAATCTCTCGTCGTGACTAGGATATGAATATAAATTGGAAACAACGGGATGAAGAAAAATTTCATCCAGTGAATGTGACGATGGAATCGTGCCAAAAACAGAGGCTGAATTACCACGCTGTATAGCTGAACTAATTTTTTGGATCAGAAAGGTGGTACATCTTTTTTCTTCAGTTTCTTCAGTCATCCTTCTGCCAATTTTATTGACAAAATTTAGAGATAAGGGCCAAATACACCAAAAGTTCCTACAGCCACAGGATACTTCTGCTGTTTTGCTTTCTCACTGGTTAAGCAGCACCTGCATTTTTAGACGTTCCAACTAAATGAGATGGAGCCAATGTGTCCGCACATGTGAAATCCCAAACGATAGCTTTGCCACATTTCCAGGGAACAAGGGTCATTCCATTAGGCCGTTTGCCATCATCACGGCTGGTACCTAGTTGTTCTAGGATAGAAGGTATCTTGGCTGATATCAAGGCCCTTTTTATGATGTCGTTGACTTGGTGATGTCTTGGAAAACGTCCCTAACTCTTTCTGCAGTACCTTTGAGTACCCATGAGTACCTTTTTCATTTACCCCACTACCACAAATACATTTATGAGAAGTACAAATATCTAAACCCAATCTGAGTCCAATGGCTACCCTGAAGGTATCATTATCTAATAGTGTTCCCAGAGTAGCAACAGGTAATGCATTCAACCAAGCACCAGGTTCTTTAATATTGATAGCTCTGAGGTGAGCTTTTTCAGAGGGAGATGACAAAGATGAATTGATTGAGTCAGAAGTAATTTCTAGTAAAGGTTCGTCCCATGCTTTCTGAAGTGATTTGAGTTCCGTAGGCACATGACTTTTGGTTTGAGAGCACCAAATAGATTCGCCTCCGACGGCTAAATTGTCTATTATGTTGGTAAAGAGACTGAAAGTATCATTTCTATCAATTGCGAAACAGTGTTGATGGAAGACATAAATGCTGGTAAAGCCAGCGATGATGCTGAGCGCAGACCCAACCCTCCACGATTCACAGGCAAGGTTGCTTGAGACCAAGAAATATCAGTGAAACAGCTGTTGGTAACATTTTCAATTATGTTACGTAGGTGATCATCAAACTTCTTGAGGTATACTTGACTTTTCCAACAAGGAGAACATCTCAGAGTATAGAGTAGTTTAGGAATGGCTAAACAATTTTTCAATAAAAAAAAGGAAGTATGCATTGGCAAATCATATAAACGGGTGGCAATCAAGTCAAGGGAATCTACTTTGTTCTGCTCACATAGAGCTTCCATAGTGAGAGGGGCGCCAAGTAGTTCCCATTTAGATTTTTCCATTAGTTTTATACCAGAAACAATTTCCATAATGTCGGCAAGAGATTTTGATTCAAGACTTGAATTGGAAATTAATTCACATTTATCGAGGTTGAGTTCGAGACCAATTTATTTTGAACTGTTAATAATTATCTCCAAATCCTTCAATACAATGTCAAAATCATCTCCAATATGCATAAGCAAGCAGGGACAAAAAATCCAAAATATTCAGAGGTCCTGGTTACGTCTCAAGCGGGCACAAAACTCGAGACGGCCAAGCGATGGCGACTACGAGGCGGCACAGAACTGAGCGATGTGGAGAAGTATTCACCCGAGCGACGGCCACATCGTTCGGCCGTCGCCCTTTTCATACCTGCACTTTATTCATGGAGTTCGAAGGCGAGAATGTATTTCCAACAAGTTGGTTGAATGAATGCGTAGGCGGCTGCTTGCAGCGCCTATATACGCATTGCCATATTGTTGCCATATGGTTGGGCTCGGTTGTAGAAAGTTATAGCGAATCAAACCAACCAATGACCACTATACAGTAACGCTGACCTTCTTTACATGGATTACGCTTTCGGAAAATGCCTAAGTGGTTCATCAGTAACCAACTACTGTCCTGAACGTCTTCTATTTAGAGGATCTACTGACAATTTCTGCCGATCGTGTAAATCGTGGAATACCTACGTTTGAATCTTTCTGGCCTTTCCAATACATTTTAAACCCTCAAAAACCGCATGAGAGCAAGCGCCCCGTTCTTCCGCCATCCCACGCACCGTTCGTGATGGGTCAGTCACCACCAGAGTCTTCAAATCCTCGTCCTGGTCGACCACTTCTGGGCTCATCTCTGGCACGAAATTTCACGAACCAACATTGAACATTGCGTTCAGTAACATTATCATTGCCAAATGCTTAGTTGATTTTTAGAGTCGTTTTGGCAGCGCTTTGGTCAATTTGAATTCGTTGCGGTTCCGCCCACTATATGTGCGTTCTTTAAAAGACTTTGGGAGTGAGAGAGAGAGAGAAAGAGATAAAATTCTCAAGTGTCCTTCTAGATTTGACAAGCTATAAGTGAGTTATTCAGTTACTGTAGAATGAAATGCATTATAGAATAGTTTGGAGTACTCGCTTTTCGAAGAAAAGGAGATGCGCTCTATTCTAAAAATGGTCTGGAACCGTTTCTGAAGAGTGATCATTGAATACTGAATGAATTTCTCAGTACTTTCTGTTGATGATCTTGACCTCCATCAATATTTATGAAGATTCATATGGTGAGGTTGCAACTTTGCTCCATTCACCGTACTAAGGTAAAATCGTACAAATTATTACTTTTTGTTTGAAGGTGGTTGACAATGTTTCGTGGTGTATTTCATCAGTTCGGACTTCCATTGTCTAATATAATATAAATTGATTTGAAATCCCTGAATACTGTCAATAAATTTTGATATATCCCTGGCAAAAAAATATTCATGTATAAATTATCATATCTAATTTAAGAGGTTTGAAACCAATAGAATCAGTGAATGAAAATATATAAATATATCGGTATGAGACATTGTTGTTATACGTCAAAACGTCTCAGTTGAAAAATGTAAGTAAGGAATCTGATATTTTCTAATTAATTGTTGGTATATTTTGGAACATGTTGTAGACAAAGTTGTGATAAATCCAAATTCCACATTCGAAAAACAATAAACAATACTTCCACATATAATTTAATATATTTCTTTTAAATGTCACTTTTAATGACAGTTACAGATTGAATTCATTATAACAATAAAATCAACAGTTCAAAAATAACTTTTCAAAACGCTCTAAAAGGATATACTCCACTCTCCACTCACAATCGACTTTGGTGAAATTGCTGACACGTTTGAATCATTGTATTTGTGCCACGTGCCAGTATAGGGATATCTGCAGAATGCTGTATAATGTCCGCTGTAGGTAGACCCACTGTGATTCGAAAGTGTATATAGATTATAACGACAAGGAGTTACATTGTCTACTGCCTAATTGTTCAAATCTAATCCATCTAGAGGAAATTCGATGGCAATATTTAACTTGCCTCTACGTCTTTCTGTTTGAGAGAATCTTTTAAAATGGATGTCTTAAATACGGGGAAACTTATGGATCGATAGAGACTTTGTGCATTTTTTTCTTTCTTTGCAACTCGAACACGTCGATTTTTCATGTCCATCCAAAGTTTTCTCTTTTGTGAAAAAATCCAAGAATTGTATTAAACTAAATTGACCAGTTCTTTGTGGTACGGAGAGTAACAAATCCAATAGGTTTGGATATTCCGGATCACACTCATGATTATTCCAGTCTTGCTTCAAATGCCCATTATCTTTTTTTTTGTTCGAATATATTGATGTGTAGGATATAAATAATGTTCGAGAAGGTGATTTTTTGAATTGCTTCTGAATATTTTTCATTCACGGATCTGAATTCGCAGTGCAACTAATTATGTAGTTTTGATTCTACTGATTTCTATCAAATTTTGGTATATTCGAGTACACACACAAGGAAGTGGCTAGTCACTTTAGTTATTAGCATAAGCTCACTTTAAATTCTCACTATTTCAGATATCAACTCATACAAAATGAACGTACTACATACATTTTTTATGTTAGTTTTCGTTTTCTACACAGCGAAGGCCTTTTTACAACGAGAGGTGAGTTTGACTGTAGTAATGAATATTACTGGAGTTTTTCCCAACACCAAATCGTTATTTTCAACACCTCGACACGTGTTTCGATCACCAAGTTATCATCTTCAAGTGGAAGATTGAACTGAAGATGATCTTGAAGATGATCACCTGGTGATCGAAACATGTGTCAAGGTATTGAAAATAACGATTTGGTGTTGAGAAAAAACTCCAGTGATATTTATCTGAAAGAGAATGAAAAAAAATGATATTACTATCAATCACCCATTAATTTTTTTGAAGGAATTTGGAGAGATTTTCACAAAATTGGTAGATGAATGCCGAGACATTTGCACAGATATATCAGATGTGAGTGATGAGGCTATATTCCAGGTCAGAGATGGTAATTTCATAGATGATATCAAAATTAAGGTACGTTTGGTTCAAAGTAACTATATTGAAATAAAATGTCAATCTCTTAAGTTAACAAGGTATTCGGGAAAAGGCTTATTCTTTCAATCATACGCTTAGAAGTGGCAAAGAAATCATATATTCATTTATCTTTACACTGAATGAGTGTGTAGCTGGTAGATAAGATAACATATGGATTAGAAGTGATATTTTCATAATTATTTTTTATATTATCACTAATGATCAAAAAAAGATAATTTCAGGCAAATCTTGAGCATTTCAACATAGAATTGTTTGATTGAATGTGAATGCGTCGCTGGATGCATTGTTAGAAAAATTGTATCTGAATTTGTGAAAAACACTGGTGGTCTAGGAAAGATAAGGAATTTTCTTTATTCTTTCAGTTTTGTGAATGTCAGGGTGGTCAACCAACCCAAATATATCAACTATGAACACCATTTGATTATTGTTCTTCATCCTTGTGAACAAGCACATCTTTAAGAACCCATTCCATCAAACAATCAAAAGATGTTAGTGAATTGATGATCTCATCAGTGAATTCAGGACCTCAATTTTCAGTTAGTAACGAATAATTCGCAACCATTTCAAAAATATACAATTTTTATTAATGAATCAGAATTTACTTCTTCAATAGAATCATGTTTATCTATAACTATGACATATGCCTTCGCAAATCGAAAAAACCCCAATGGAAGATTCAACGTATGACCACTCAACAGACAACAAAAATGAGATTGTTTTTTGGCAACACAGGAAATGCTTAGTATGGGGAGAAGCTCAATTCATAAAATACATATCTGTATTGGTCAAGTGCATCATTCCCATATCTCCATCCTAGTCCTGAACATTGAAACTTGGGAATTTTTAAGGTCGCCATTCAAGAACACAGTCTAAGACAAAGTCAAAAAACGGCAGCCTGCATTGATGGGAGATTTTTTGTAATAGGAGTGTTTGGGCTTGTTCAATTTGATATCATTTTTATTTCTGGTGTTGTAAGAATATGAATCACTATTAATGGGAAATTAATATTTGTTATTGAAAATATTTGTTAATAGTTTCATTAAATAAATTGATGTAACCGTAAGGATCTGTTTAGTTTTGAAAACCTGTCTGCATGACTGGCGACTACTAATGTTAAAGATAAGCCTTATGAACTTTATTTCATCGCTATTTCAACAATATTATTACTAACTTCGAAGGTGAAATTAGAAGGTATTCCATGTTTTGTGTGAAACTCAATTATTACTGTCTTACTTTGATTCATTATTAGTATATTCTGCATACAGTAATCCGCAAAATCTTTCAAAACTGAGTCAGTTTTTTGCTGTAATCTTTGGCGATCAGTGTCAGACACCACAATAGAGGTGTCATCAGCATACATGAAAACTCTTCCGTCCTTTATGTTATGAGGCCAGTTATAACTGGCGACCCATATTACCTTGTTAAACTCTGAACTCTGAATGGTTGAACTTTATTTCATCGCCATAGTACCCTACTAATCTTCAATTCGTTCTTACAGAAATATATACAATGCATGTACCGAGTTTCAAAATTGGTAAGTATCCCAAAATTCATTTTTGATTTGTTGAATATGTCTTCGCCTGTAATAACTAACAAAACATTTGGAAAATTAACAAATTGAACAAAAAGTTTGGTTTGTGAGGATATAACAGTTGTCAGAAGCACGCCAAGTCAATAATTGAGGTTATTACACTTGTGACTGTGCCGTATGAATAATTGTTCTCTCAATACAAGCAAAGTTAGTGATATCAATCACAGTGTTATTTGCCATGAGCGAGAAGATCGAATATATAACAACGAATGTGTAATGCTCTCACACTGCGATATATCACTGCAAATCAATCCACTGCAGATGAAGAAGGAATTGCACGAGAGGTGATTCGTGTTCAATGTTGCCAGGTGTACTATTTTTACAGTAGATCTTCTGTTATGGCTCTAGTCACTGTTCTACTGTTTGACAGTTGAGACACACTAATGACTGTTTACTGAATACTAATTTTTTCATTCCATCACGATTACTCACATCACTTATTGAATAAATGTAACAATTTTTTTAAAGGATTTTTTTTTCTTCAATTCTAACATCAGCCTCAACTATAACCACTTCCAAGTCAAATACTCCCAAAGTCATATAATCTCGAGAAAAAATTATCTGCCAAACAAATAGAAGGTGATTATCACCAAACCCTGGCAAGTTCAACTGCTCTGAACACACACTAATAAAGCAATACGTCGTGCAAATCAAAGACAAGTTGGATTCTGTGTATGGGGATTATGCACCATCATTTACCACAGTGAAATTTTGGCCAGATGAATTTAAACATGGCCCTGAGAGCTTGGGAGGTGATGAAAGTTCGGGACATCCAAAAACCGACGAATCAAAGTGAAAGAGATAGCAGTGGTTATGAACATGTTGGAAGAACTTGTTTGTCACATGTTGAGTCAAAATTTAGGCAACATCCGCGCGTTGTGTCGCGTTTGCTAACGTTAGATCAGAAATGTGTTTGAATGAACATTTCCAATGCTCTATTGGCACAACTGATGCGCAATGGCGGTGTATTCGTGTTTTGAATTCACCCCAAACCAAAAATACAGTCCAAACAGTAACCCGCAAAAGGGGAAGTGATGGCGATTTTTTTGGGATAGTCATGGAGTTTATCTTCAATAAGGAAAAAACATTACAGAAGCATACTATGCATCATCACTTGACAACATTACGTTGGAATCTTTTCGGGTATTTCCATGTCATGATTTCGCATGAAATCAACAATATCTGCTTTTTTGTGTTATTGTTTGGTATTGTAGTCAATAACCGAGAATGATGCGAAGCGTTATCCATAACAATAACCGAGTTTGGAGTAATATTTTGGAGAAGCTGCTCACTGAACCAGGTTTCGAATAAAGCCGCAGTCATATCTTCGTGGTAATCAGCAGACGAATCTTTTACTTTTTTGGTCGACAGAAGCAAAGCGTTAGGTACGAAACCACTTTCATTCCCGGCATACAAAATTGTAACACGTTTTCCCCTTGAAGAAGGTGTGTTCAAAGCACAATACTTGGTTTCGTCTACCCAGCCATATTTGACAAATTTTCATTCGCCTCAAATATTCTTGTCGAAGTTGAACAATGCGTGTCGATTCCATTATGACCATCCGAATGTTCAATTTTTTATATTTGAAACTACAAGACAATAAGACACTCCGTAAAGTTTCTGAAGATTTGTACCTAATTGTAATCGGGATAGTCGAGTAATTTATACCAAATCATTTCCAAAGTTGGTACTTCATTTTTTTGGTATATACCATAAATTGTTCGCCGAATCACATCTTTTGTAGCACCATCAACGTTTGCGAATTTTTCATTCCTTTGTTTTCGTTTCATTGCATGGTCAATGACATCCCCTATTTTAATGACTCGAAGAACTGTCGAACGAGATAGTTACGTTAAATCGGATATTCTATCCACAATAGCATTCTGTGAAGTGTGACAGTTTTCCTTCTCTGCCATTTTTGAGAAAATTTGGAAATGAATATCAATGTCAGTGGTTGCTTTAACAAGTCACAGTAAGCCATGAAAAATAGACTGGAATGCCATCGATTCCAATGGCTGCTTTGGGTTTCAGTGTCTTGATAGCATTTTCAACCTCTTGTTCCTTGATATCACCAATTCCAATGATGTCTAGGTTATACTCAGGAACTAGTGTGAGGTTTACCGGCACACCGCTATTCGTGAAAGTTGATTTGAAGAAAGTAGCAAAACCGTCAGCAATATCCTTATCATTGAATAATTCATCATTATCATAAATGAATCTGTTAGAAACAGCACTGTTTTTTTGACGTTCCTTGATGTAAGCCCAGAGTTTTTTTGGGTCGCTCTGTAAGTCTTCCTCTATTTCTTTTATATAGAATTCATAACACAAATTATGCGAACGTTTCACATCCATTCTGAGTTCGTTGTATGTTTCCTTATAATAATAATATTTGTTTGAAAAAGTGTTCTATTAATTCAATTTTGACGGGTTACAGATATTATAGCATCCTTGGGAAAACTATGTAGAGTTAAAAGGAGACTATGTTAAAACTTTAGAAAATTTGAATGTATCCGGAAAAATGCCGGTACTAAATATCAAGTTTACAAGTAGGGTGAAGGGTTTCAAAATAATGCTGGTAGTTTCTTAAATAATTGTACTATTTATTTCCTATTTAACCTGCACCAATGAACTGTTTCAGATGGATAAGAATTTGAATATGAATGAAACACTACTTGATGAAGTCTTACCAAAGAAAGCAAAAGAGAATGACTTCAAAGGCATGGCGAGAAATTGTCTCTCGGAGGCTAAAGAGTCAGGTATGTAGCACTAAAAGAAAGTTTTTATTCAAATTTCGCACCCTGAGCTTAATACTAATGTAATAATTTCGCTTCTCATACAAAAATCCAAAGTATGCTCATGGAATTTATTTTCTAAATAGCCAAATAGTCTCATTCCGTTTATTTTGATATCCCTTCAGCTAGTTCAGACACCCAGTAAAAAGTGAATCAATGAAAGAAGTATCAATTTTCCAAGACTTTCTCAGAACTGAGTACTGTCTAGTTATCCTGGAGAATATCGGCTCACTTACTTCGCGGAAACCTAAAATTCATACTTCTTACTGTAATGTAGTTTTTTTCTGCACAGTATAGTGGGCTGTTGAAAAATGAAGCTATGTACATTCGATTGGCGATTTTTGGAATGTTTCATGTTGGTATAGTCGAAGTAAACGCTATTGTGCACATTTAAAGTTGGCGGCAGTCTCAAAGGCCAAAAAAACCAATACATAGAAATGAATTGGCAGCAGTCCACGTAGTCCACGTACATTATTTTTTCATTACGAATGTATACCAACTGTTTCTGTCTCAGGATGAGTGTTCATCATCAACGCTTCACATTTTTTCTATTCCGAGTGTAACGTTTGCATTGAAAACGTAATTTGCTATCATGTGGTCCCGGAATATGTTTGTTAACTGCACTATTGCGACATAATTTTTTTGGTCACAATTTCTTTCTTTCGTTCCAGATATCAAAGAAAATCACGAGAAGGTTTATCGTTTCGAAAAATGCTTACATGATCTCAAGCCAGAGGTAAGTCATTCACAGTATGATTTTATTTTTTCGCATTTAAAGATATTTCAAATGATATTCATCACAGACGTTCAACTATTGAAAGTTTAAAATTGCATACATAAAATTATATGAGGAATTGACCGAAATCCTTCAGATTAATTATCTAGTGGACCGAAATGATTCTTGGTCAAACTTTCGAAATCTCCTGTCGAAGATAGTTCAATTTTGTCAAGATCTGTTTTTATCATTTTCAAAATTGCTGGTGGTTCAATGTTTTCATCACATATAATATTTTTGTAGTTCAAGGAATCAGCAGCTGTTTATTTTTAAATCTTATGTTTTTGTCAAAAAATGTTTAACATATTTTGCACTTCTAGGTATTCATTATGGCGTGATGCAGTCACACAGGCGTACAACTCTCAAACCCTAGAACGTCGATTATCATTGTTCGTAAAATTTTGATGTTTAGAATAAATTATTAAGCATATATTGGTCATTACTCATCCAATTTTTCAGTTTCCCTCCAAATTGAATTGTTCGTTTCATACAAGAATCAACTAAAGAAGAATATAGTAGAATAGAATAGAATAGAATTTATTTCACTACGTTACATACAAAAATGTTTGTAGCAAGTCAATACAATCAATTGAATTCAAACGCCGGAGCACTAGAATATAAGTAATGTATAAATAAAAACATATAGATTATAAAAGTTCGATAATGTTACTTAGTTGTCAAAGTAATCAAGTCATGGAAAATTCACGTGTTTCAGATATTCATCTACAGAGTGGAAACAATGTTTCAAAAAATACTTTTTCATAGTTTTCTTGAACATGGACAAACTAAGATTTTTATACTCCTTGGGTAGGTTTTTATAAAGCGTATAATCAAGACTATTTTTTTGAGATTTATTTAATCGAAAATAATTCGTTCGAATTTTATCGGCATGCCTGGCATTATAAGTGTGAATATCCGACTGTTTTAAGAGACAGTTCGACATCTTCTTTACTTCAATAAGCGCATTGAACAAATATATACTTGGTAAAGGCATTATTTTCATCTGAATAAATATGGGTTTGCAATGATCTCTAAAACCGGCATCTGCAATAATTCTCATTGCTTTTTTTTGTAGTTTGAAAATTTTTTCAGCACCAGTAGAATTACCCCAAAGAAAGACACCATAACTGATAAGGGAATGAAAAAGAAAAAAATACGTGGTCTTCAGCGTGCTAAAGCTGACAACATTTTTTATTTGACGAAGGATGAAAAGTGTAGTTCATAATTTACTTTCAAGCTGTTCAATATGACATACCCAGCTGAGAGTGCTGTTCAAATATATACCCAGTATTTAACACTGTCAACATTAGATGTGGCGTTGCTGCTTGAAAAATGAAGACTCTGTGACTTTTCACTATTTAGTTTGAGACCATTTGCCAAAAACCAATTTTCAGGCCTATCATCCAACTCTTTGGATATTCTTGTGAGTTCTGATAGTTTTCTATCTGAATATATAAATGTCATATCGTCGGCAAATAGTACAGTGCTAGATAGTTGCATGAATTTACTGATGTCATTAACATAAATTATAAATAGCAGGGGTCCCAGTACTGACCCCTGCGGAACGCCATACTTTACATGTTCAAATTTTGAAACTTTATTGTTTACACTAACGGCTTGATATCTACTTGACAGGTATGATTTCATAAGGAAAAGTGCAACTCCCCTCACTACATAATAGCTTAGTTTTTCTAATAGTATTTCATGAGAAATGCAGTCAAAGGCCTTTGAAAGGTCACAGAGCTTAATTACTGTGAGATTACCTTGCTCGAGACCCTTGACTACATTATTGACCACGCTAAACCTGAGCTGTAGAACAATTTCTGCGAAAACTAAATTGTAACTTGTCAAAAAAATTATTTGTCTCAAAATATGCATAAATACGTTGTTTCAAAATTTTCTCGATGATTTTAGAAAGTATAGATATGATGGAGATAGGTCTATAGTTTTCAGCTAGACTTGGATTGCCATTTTTAAATAGTGGAAGGACTTTAGAAAATTTGAATGTATCCGGAAAAATGCCGGTACTGAATATCAAGTTTACAAGTAGGGTGAAGGGTTTCAAAATAATGCTGGTAGTTTCTTTCATAATTGTACTATTTATTTCCTATTTAACCATTTAGAATTTTTTAGGGAGATTATTGCATCTCGAACGTCTTCTTCAGTGACTGGACCAAGAAAAAACAAGTTACAGGGCGCTGGAAAGTTTCTGAAGTTCAGAACTTCTTCCTCTGTCACAGTTGGAAGAGACTTTATGATGTTTTCAGCAACACTAGCAAAGTAGTTATTGACATAGTCGGGGGTTATATTGCATGTAGAAGTACTGTTTTATTTCTTTCAAAATATATCACTTGCCAGCATGATTTTGATTTATTTCCCGATAAACGATAAAATCTCCCAAGATTATAATTTTTTATGCGGATTTAAGATAAATTCAAGCAAATTATCGATTTTTTCCAAAAATAAGTCAAAATTTCCTTTGCCTAACCTGTATAGAATCACAACAAGGATTTTTTTATTTATTAATTCAACTCCACAGAATTCGGAGTTTTGTTCAATATTAAAACTTTGCAAATCTAATGGCTTGAATCATATGGACGTCTTCAAAAATATGGCTGTTCCGCCGTTTTGAAGTTGTTTTCTGCAGAAATAGTTTGCTAAAACATAACCATCTAAATTTATTCTTTTGAGACATTGCTCTCTCTGCCAATGCTCTGAAACACCTACGATATCACACTCATATTCGTTTAAAAAAGAATCAAACAATTCAATTTTGTTTGACAAACATTGACTATTCACATGAAATATACTGATTGAATTTTTACAATTTACAATATAATCAAGAGTTCCAGAGTCACAGACACTCTTATCGCAGTTTGGAGAAATGTAGAATAAAAAAATTACCTGAAATACAAATAATGACTGATTTCTATAAGTTTGTCATTGCCTCTGAAGCTAATATTTCAGATAATATTTGGAAGTTGTGGTCATTCGTTGGCATTGAGAAAATTCAATGTTTTTGTGAAGTATTTATTAACTTCTTCAGTGTGCTTCAGTGTCTTAGGAATACAGTTTCTTAAAAGCAAATGTAAGATTCATATCAATGTTGATGATATCACCAAATGTCAACATAGAACTGAATAGTTAGTCAATATTAAATCCATGTTTTACATATTCTGATGTACACTGCATGAAATCCAGAAATAGAAAGCGTCTAACAAAAAATCGATGACCTCCCAACTTTTGTGTCTCGTTTTCATCAGATCAGATCAGAGGTAAACAAGAATTCAACATAAATTTACTCTGAAATATGAAACTCTTTCTAGTTCATTCCACGTTTTTCTCAGTAGGTGAAAGATATCACTTTTGTATATAGAACAACGGGTCTCTAATTTTTCCTCACTGTGGTAGCAAAAATCATCAAAGCAGGCTACAAAAACCAGTTGTATATCAGGTCCAAATTGGATCATTCTGTACAAAACGAAAAACAATGGAATCCATACAATACAACACCCGACAAAACGAAGTTGAAAAGGAAAAGTTTCATCAGTAGCATACCTTGTTCTATTGGTGAGACGTCAAGGTCTCTTTAAGAGCACGAAAATGAACAATGAAATTACCCAAAAAATAAATAATTTACAGGGTCAAAGTTGTCAGAACGCATTTTGAAACGGTTCATACTCAATTTTCTGATATCTGTCGAAAACAATTAAGAAATAAAGCAACGACGAGATTGAAGATCACGTAAAATTCTCAGCTTTTCCGTTCAACATTCTGCAGAACAGTGAATTTGAAAACTTAGGTGCTAGACCATTCCCACTATTCGTAAAGTGAAGCTGTACCTAAAAAAATTGCCTCTTTTTTCCACGGAAGTGATGTTTCAGGTGGAAAACATCCCTATTCCCATAGTGACGCACGAAATTTCTTACCTATATGAATAGGCCTTCTATTTTCCTTCGTTGCGAAAACAATACTCATCAAAGCAAACAACCTAATGCCTCTGTACATGTTTGTCAGGTTCATTGCTCGAAAAAACTTTCATATACACTCTCGTAATGTTTCAGGAACTTTCACAGAACATTTTCTCTCTAGCGATTATTTTCATATGACGCTGTGCCAGCTGTGTGAAAGCGGACGTCGCGACGCTCGAACTAGACTGTTTCGTTTCATTGTAATTACGATATGGAATTCTATAAATAATTCGCTGTTGATTCTATTCATCTGGCTGGATGATTTAGAGTGAGAAGTAATTTTCACTGAGTGGTCGCATGGAATTTTACACACCTAATTCAAATCATTAATGGCCAATGATGTTGAAAGCCATTTTGTTTATCTGGGGGTAAGTTGGTTATTTGAAACCAGCTTTAAGTAGGAGATTTTGGATGATAGCAGGTTGATTATTCCAAAAGGACTTTTTCCTTTCGTGTATTCCAATGTTCATATAGTAGTATTGTTTTGCATCTTTCCTCGTTCCTTTGGAAGTTTCACACATTTGTTTTTTGATGATGAAGGAGTAAAAAGCTGAAAAACTTCCTTTCCAATGTCCAGAAAACTGTCATTGTCATCGCTTTAGACTTTGCCAAACAAACATTGACCACCTGGGTGGCAAGAAGATTTATGGACTTCTGGCAGAATTTTCTTATTAGTCAATGGGCTATGCTTGAAGACTGGCAATAAACAAATCTAAAGCAAATGGAACTTCAAACGTTCAAGCCAGTCTCTATATACCTACACAGTAGGTTTAATGGACTGACGCCTATCAGAAAACAACTACTCCCCTGACTAATACCACGAAGGGCGTTGGATTATATCAGACAGGCGTCAGTGCAGGAATCTTCACAGAAAATGTCCTGCATATGCAGACTGGCAGAATCTTCCAGGATTGGTTGAGTCCAAGGCATCCATTCACGCTTCGAAGCTTGATACCAAACAGTTGGTGGACTACAGTGAATTTTTTTAATTCTTGAATCTATCAATTCCTCAGCATCATAAAAGACAGAGTTTCAAACCTTTCCTTTCCAAATGTAATACATCATATTTGTTTTTGAATTCATGCCTCTCATATAGTACAAAATAAATAAATAAATGTATGCGAAAGTACGCTCGCACATGTTCGAATGCATACTTTGAGTAAAATAAACAAGAAATATCAATTAGAGATGATCATCGTAAAATTCCTGCAAGCTATAATAGAGCCTGCTGATTACAACTCCTTTGATGTCTTTTCGGAAGTATTCAATGTTCAGATTTGCTTCTTTGAGACATTCAGGCAGGTGATTGTACATTTCAACATCGTTATAAGAAAAAAGAATCCTTAATTAATGCGGAGGAAGGGATAGGCAGTTTCAGGTTATTTTTGTTACTCATGCGGGTGTTGTAATGGAAATAATTGTTTTATCCCAATATATGTTTTCTAACGAGACACACAGTTTACAAAATGAAGAGTGCTACCACTGTTTTATGTGGTTTTCGAATTTCAGACCTTTGTCTATATAAAGTCCTAGAAACCTAGGACTTTATATAGTTCCGTTAGCTAAGGGTAAATTGTCAAGATTACATCCAAAAGAGATCATATTTGTTTTGCTGATGTTGAATGATAATAAATTTGAATCACACCAAGACTTTACAATCATGAAGATTATCCACTGATACACTTTGCCACAAAATTGTGGTATCGTCTGCAAAAAGAGTTAGTTAGCCAGATGCATCTATTTTGAGGAGGGCAAACATTCATTCATAACGTTGTGCGATCTATCGAAGGCATTTGATTGTGTTTCGCATGATATTCTGCTTAAGAAACTTTCCTATTATGGTATTCGCGGACTGTCCCTTAAATTCTTTTAATCCTATTCGCACAATAGATCACAGTGTGTATCATTACATGGGATTAAATCGAATGTGAAATCTGTCAAACATGGTGTGCCCCAGGGTTCCGTACTGGGACCAATCTTGTTTATACTATATATAAATGACCTATACTACCACATACTTCCTCAAAAATGTTTTCTTTTTGCGGACTGTCACGGTAGTGTTAATGATTTGAGTGTTTCTGCCAACGCCACCATGAAGTCTGCAAGTAACTGGTTTGTTTCAAATAGACTTCTCCTTAATGAGGCTAAAAATCAAAATCTTATAATTTCCACAAATACATATTTAACCTCGGGTAAAAGTGTTAAGCTACTGGGGGTTCACATAGACGACAGATTGAACTGGTCAAGTCATGTTGACAAACTGGACAAGAAATTATCAAGTGCAATATTTATGATTCGTAGACTGAAGGATTTCGCCGGTATCAGAGCGGTCAAATCTTCGTACTTCGGACTCTTCCATAGTCACATGGTATATGGCATAGTGTTGTGGGGGGATTCTTATCATTCCAAAAAAAAATTTATATTGCAAAAAAGAGTTATACGTCTAATATCTAATGCCAACTTTAAAGATCATTGTCGCCCACCTTTTATTCATCTCAAAATAATGCCGCTTCCTACAGCTTTTGTATATGAAACATTGATTGAAATTCATAAAAATAAATCAAAATACATTTCACAATCGCAACAACATGAATATCCTACAAGATCAGGAAATCTGATAAGAACTGAGAGATTCAGACTGAGCACCTCACAAAATAATTCATTGAATTTGAAGTTTTTTTGATAGTTCGTTTGTCCTCACTTCATTCCGTTAAATGTGACTGAAACCACTCGAGCGTTTTTCCTCTACAATCATAATAATACAACTTATGCAGGAGTAAATTGTGGTTAACACAGTCGAACGCTTTCGCAAAATCGCAGAAGACTGCCGCGGCTACATCTCCAATATTAATATTTGCATATACCTCATACAGAAAACTGAAAATTGCGTCATGGGTGTTTTTATTGGTTTGGAAGCCGAATTGATTTTCATTGATTACTTTGTGAGTTACAAGGAACTCATTGAGCCTGTTTTTGACGACATGTTCAATAATTTTTGCCAACGTAGGTATAAGGGAAATTGTCCGATAGTTTGAAGGGTCTTCAAGATCGCCACCTTTGGCTTCAATTGTGAGATTTTCAAAAATTTAAATTGAGATGTCATCAAAACCTACTACTTTTTTAATTTTTATGACTTTGGACACTTCTGCAAGCCTATAAATATTAGTATCTTGCAGTATAAAAGATTCCTTAATTGATAACCGTTTGGCCAATATAAAATTTCGGGCAATAACCGCAAGTTAATTTATATAATCCTCATTGTTTATAATACATTTGAGTAAATTATGATCAATTCTGTATGGGTGTTTTCCAACTTCAGGAAGTTAGTTCAGTTACAAAGGTCGGTTGGTTGTTTATTATATTTTCAAATCACACTTCAACTAACTGGATATAGCAACAGTCGAATCTCTGCTTCAAGTACTTTTTAGAATTCATTTCGTGTTCATTCCTCTACATTTCAATTTATAAACAAAGTTAACATTATAACGGCTTCACAAAATATTGGTAAAGAACAAAAACATTATCTGAAAGATTATTTAACCCAGAGAACTTAAACTGGAAAATGTAACGAAACGACTGTTCTTCCACATCTTGGGCTTATGAATAACTTTATGTATAGTATGAAGGGCAGTCATAGATATTAATTTCTCTTCCACACAGCCAACAAAATAACCCAAAAGTACTGGAACAAAATCAATCTACTTAGATCGATGTTTCAAATGTCTCAGATGAATTGACAAAAAGAAATGAAAAAAACATTATTATCATGCAATTGAAATCCTTTATTCATTTTCATTGTCTATATTCATTCTGTTTTCCGGTAAGACTGCAATCTCAAAACAATACGAAGTCCTGAAAAAAAAGGCAGTTTTCAGTCGATGGGAATTGATTGATCATTGCCTCCTCTATGAACCATCTATTGAGTTATATTTTTTTGGTAATACTTACATCGAAATCTTCATCGTATAAACATTTCTGTAATATGTAGGTCTTCTCGAAATTTGGTAGATCTGAAAATAAACCAAACTCTTTAGGGGTGGAAATGGATCAGAATTACTGATGTTTATTTTGCGAGGTTCACAAATATTATTTTATAATCATGGATTTATAATAATAATAACAATAATAGGTCTTTATTCCCATAATGATACAATAAATAAACGGGAAAGGCTGAAGATCAGTTGGTTGCACCAAAAGATGCAACCTCTGTTTTTCATCTTAGGCCNTTTGTTCGCATCGTATGTTGAAAGTAAGCTCTTTTTTTATTTTTACATGCTAGAGTGGTATAATTTCTCAAAGATTTATAATACTCATAATGACCTACATTTTTCAATCGGAAGAGCATATGATGACAGAATCGAAGAAAATGACAAGACAACTAAAAGGAACAACTTGCATACTATTGAATGGAAACACATCACTAGAAAAGTGATTTCGAATTGACGTTGACCTAATTGTTTCAGGATCAGAAAAAGTTACCGAAACATTATCCAGAGAAAGTATATTTTCAATTATAATTCAATTATTATTTGTTTGGGTGTTGAGGGAACATTTATGATATGAAGTGTTACTACAAGTTTTCATTTGAATATAGTAATATTTTCTAAAGAAATTAGTAATTTCACTTCCACTTCCATTTCTTGAATTCATTCTCGCATTTTTTGGTTCAATTTTTGTACAAAAAAGAACTGTAATCACATGTTCCAGTAATAAGTTTATCAAATACCGTTTCAATTCTGGAAATCATTCAACCTATATACAACTTCATTCAACATATATTGAAATCTCAATCAATAATATGGTTATCCATGTAATAATCACACACGATGGAAACGAGTATTACAAACAGGGCTTCATCAATTACAATAATAGTAGGTAGGTATAGTATATAAGAAGTCGATTCGAAAGGCTCAAAACTGAATAGTTACCGAATGTCGGCAGTTTTTTTTTGTATGGCATGGGCGGCGTGGTATTCATACGAGGTCTAATCATTATTTTCATGTTTTATAGGGTGTCAACTAGTAGATTTATCAGATTTCAGACTGGACTTCAATAAAACATTTTTTAAAAACGTTACACTTCCGAAATACATTACCTTTATCCTTAACTTTATCGTGACAACCTTTCAACGTTTGAGAAGCGATTCCTCGTGTGCGTTCTGGTAGATATTCTTCCACTCGATCAAAATGCATCTTGAAATTTGTACTCATCTGAAAAGTCCAATAGTTATGATTTTTACAGAAATGATGATGAATCCGAAAACCTTTCTGATCAAATAATTTGAAACTAAAATAAAATAATCTTTTGCCGCATGAATACAGAATACTCTATTTATCTATCAATATCTCTTATTTCGTATGATTCAGGTACATGAAGTGAAATATTTCCAAACTGTAAGATATTACAAAACTCAAAACTCTATGTTTCTCTCTCTCTCTCTCTATTATTAGTGGCCATTGCATTTGGCCGGGTGCAAGGTTAACCGGAGATTTATACACATATACAGCCCCTTTACGTCGATAACTGAAGCACTCCGGCCTGGATACCGGCGTGAATGAGGGAGCCTCTTCCTCTTCGCTTTTTGAAAGACTCTTCATAGATTACCACAATGTACTAACACATAGAGCCTTACGATAGCACGTGGCATCCGCATACCTTCCTTCGTGGACCAAGACCAGTTACAAGAATACAAATGGTAACATGAAGGACTGTATCGGGCAGAGATATATACGTACTATATATAAAATGAATATTTTGATATCGAAATATCCATCTTTTCAAACTACCTACACAGTAGGTTCTGGTAAATGTCTGCCGGAAAACAACTACTTTCTCGGCTAATACCACGCTGGATATTGAATTATATCCAAGAGACATTTATGCAAGATACCTTACAGAGATTACTCTCGCAATTGTCTGAAATACAGTGTGTCTCACTTCTCATGGAAACATCCCCGTATCTTCCGTAATATTCGAGGTAGAACGATGGAACTCTCTGGACTGATGGAAATGCTCAAAATGTACCTACCACCTGAATGGGATTGGCCAAAGCGATATACACTGTCCGCAACTCGCGATGGAACACCCCATTTTTACGGTAAAACATATTAGGGGGCAAAATAGGCTCAAAATTCCTTCAGATTCGTGATCAGGACTACCAACTTACTACGATTACACTTTTTTCCTGAAAAAATTTCAGTCCTGAAAAATCCGAATTTGTTTCACTTCTCATGGAAACACCCCCGTATCACTTTAAAAAATTCCTGTCATTGAGATAATTTCCCTGCATCCATAAACAATACTCCATACGGCGGATTTCATCTCCTTCGTGCAAAGTATGTGAAAAGTTGGGTTTGAACGTATGCCTCTTTAAACACCTCCATATTTTACTGCGGCTCATATTGAGTTGAAGCGATAAGTTTCTCAAACTAATTCTAGGATTAGCTTGATGAGCCGCTAATATCGTATCATCATCAATATGATGTTTTACAATTTTTCTGTCCTTTGTTACTTGGCCGGTGCTCATGAATAGATTATATATTTCATGTACAGTTCCAGGGTGTACAGCTACCTCTAGCGGGTGCTTGAAGTGACAGACGTGCCATGTTGAACTTTGTCAATCAAAATGAGCTGATATCAGGTAAAATGAAAACTTCAGAAATATCAAAATATGAATAGGAACTCACGAACAGAAAACAACTGGAACACAGGAACAATATCCAACACAAATACAGGAACAATAAACACGATGGGAACAGAAACACGGCAGACACATCAGGAAGAACGGTGATTCAAAGAACAACAATTCGAGAAACAACAAATGCAATGAAAACTGGTCTGGGGGTTAATACAACAAGATCTTTCAACAATATTGTCAGGTTGACAGTAAATATCAATGAGCAACTGTTTTCCATGGTGATTTCAGGGCACCGCATGATTAAATGAAACTGATGTTTCCCCAGAAACTTTGCTGACATTTTGTTTTCTATTAATTGAGTACCCAGGTAGATATCTAGTGTGCTAGTTTTTGAGATATTAGATGACAAGAAATTAGCATTACACCAGTCTCTTATTTTTATAATATCCATCATGCAGTTCCCCTTCATTCTTGCAATGCCAAAATAATGTAGTGTCATCAGCGAATCGGATTATTTCTGCGGTTATATTAATGCGCGCTAGGACGTTAATATATAACAAGAAAAGAATTGGGCCTAGAGCCGATCCTTGTGGAACACCACAAGTAACTGTCTGGAGATGGGATATGTTGTCCGGGAGTTTGACTTTCTGAGTACGTTCTGAAAGGTATGATCTGAACCATTTCAAAGATATATCTCTAAAACGGCAGAGCCGTACTCTTATTATCTGGCCTGAAAGACCACTCACAATGCAAACTAATCGGTTTCGTTAAGAAGCTGGGTTTATTCGGTCGAGTGTCCGCCGCAACCCAATCACTTTGGACCTAACCTAACCTAAACTAACCCAACCTAACCTCCGGAACGAAATTTTGCAAACCAACGTCGAACAATGCGTTCATTACCGCTACCATTGCCAAATGTATAGTGAAACTTTGCGAGCTGTTTCGGCAGCGCTTAAGTTCAATTTGAATCTGTAGGAAAAAATTGCCCAAAGATCGCTTGAGGACATCATATAATATAATAAGTCGGTCGGTAGCCGGGCGGTTCGACGTGGGTGTCTTGTTCACTCAGTCAATCTGCCGATGTGTGAGTTAATGGTTCAAACCCCAGGCTGAACACTCGATATTCACTTGTTAGAAATCACACGTTAAAAGGTAAGACCTTGTTAGTCCTTACCTCCCATAAGTTTCGACTTCGGAGGAGTGTCGTTCGTAGGGGTGCGATAGCTGGTTAACGGAAAAAACATATTTCAAACATATTTTTTTCATTTAGGTAAAAAAAGGAACAGCACCAACGTTTAGAATACAAAGTTTGATGACATATCAGGAAAAATATTGATTGAGATATAAAAATACAAAAATACATGACATTGAAACGTACAAAACTTCTGAAATAACCATAGATTTTTTTCAACTTACCACTCCTGAAATCCTCCACATGCAAAATACATATTTCTGAAAATGAAACAGACACAGTATTTCAAAAATGAGGAAAATGTATGTGAATTATGTAAATTTGCTAATGAGATTGATACAATAGATCAAATTAAATCATATGCTGAAGTAACTGACTTTTTGAATGTTTGTTGAGTTCATGAAAACTGAAAGTTATCAATCATCGTTTATTTCGGAAAGATTAATTCCAAAAAATTCATTGAACAATTCTGTAACTTTTGGTTTTCAATATATTCCACGAATTGAAGATGAAATAAATCTATCACGAATAAACAACAGAAAAAATGCTAATGAAATGTCCTCCTCGGAGCTCCTGACAGTGAAACAGTCTATTTTTGAACTCAATCCTAACATTTTTTAATGTTTCAAGTTTCGGTAAATCTGTCTTTTCAATTCTTCGTATTGTCCCAGGTTGCGCCATATGAATTTTCGATTTGATGCAGCCACAAAGGAAAAAAAACGAGAGGAGTCAAATCCAGTGGACGAGCAGGCCATTTCAAGGGACCGCCTGGTGGGCTTGAACACCGTTTTTTGCGTTTATGTGCGAAAATACGAAACTAATCTATCTAGTAGGTCGCTATTAGCGATAGTGACAATCAAATTTATATGACGTCAGGTTAATTTCAATATTGTAACTTTTTCAATGCTTGTGAAAAAAATTGTCACACAAATTTTATGTACCCCCTTTAAGGGGCTGTATCTTAACAAGGGATGCTCCAATGAAGTTTCTTTATATGAAAGATCCTATCTTTTTTTCGATGAGGAATCACCTCCTTGAATGTTTTACACTTATTCAGTTACACCCTGTATAATAAATAAATATTGCAATCAAAAATATCATAAATACCTTCAGTGCATCATCATCTATGAAGTGACCAATTTGCACTTGTTTTATAGCTTCCTCTGTCGTACCAGTAACATCCCTACAAACATCATGCCACGTTAAGATTTCGTCTTGGATAATGTCGCTGACTTCCTAAAAATTGAAGAATACCGAATAAAACATCAAAAATGAAAGAATGGAAAGAGAAAAGAAAATTTCTATATTTTTCACCACTAAACATAGTGTATGTCTAGTGTCTATGTAAAAAACATAGAAATTTCCATTTCTCTTTGCATTATGATCTCCTACCACGTAGTAACGGCTACATCCATCAATTTATCAAAAATGAAAGAGCCGTCAGAAGATTATTTTACGTTTTATTTTACAGAAAATCATAATGCATGGATAGTGATTGCAGTGGTTGAAGCACTGAGTGCCGAAAATATAGAATGAAAACTTGAATCTGATCTGAAATATTTTCATTTTCATCAGGAAGAGGAATGATTCTATTCTTTGAATTTTATCCTACACTCATTCTCAGTGAAATATACCTTTCAGTAATTAAGGTTTCCGAGATCATTTTCTGTTTTTCCTCTTTCGAAATATCATTAAAGGGTTTTGAGTACCTTCAATTTGGTTGACTGAGAAAAATCCTATTCATGATACATAAATTATATCGTTGAGTCTTCAGATAATGATGATTCAGACAAAATTAATAAAAAATCAAATCAGAAACCTATATCATTGAATCCGTATATCATCTTCAATGTGAATTGCTCAATTTATTTGTTTTACAATTATTCAATCTCAAAATAGTATGTCGGCTCACAATTTTTTTGCAACGTGTAGAATACTGAATATGATTTGAGATGTAACTAGTTCAAAACTCACCGTCAAATCAAATTTGGCACTGACTGTCCACAACAAATGGGATATCATCAATATTCTGAGAAACCCCCACATTCTGTTGATTTTTATCGCTGAAAAATGATGTCTATTAATTTAAAATATTCGTCACCCTTGACAGAATAATAAACATCTCAGCATCACATACTTCGAAAATGTTGAATTCTTCCATTCTACTTTCTGTCGCATCAAATCAAAATACATAATTTTTAACTAATACCACCATAACATTCCAAAAAGTCATTCATTTTGATCATCGAAAAATTCAAGAAATCTATTGAAAATTTCAAATAAAAAATATAACTCTAGAATTTGACTTAATTTCTTTAAATTCAAATAATATTGTGTTTCATTTCAACAGATGTTCAAAGACATTGCCGTTTTGTTCTAAACAAGAATATATTCTTTTTTGCATACCACTATTTGTAGCTTTCTGTAATGTAATGGAGTCAGGAATCAAATTATTGAAAGCTCTCAGAACCCTTCGTTTCATATTTTCTTTATCACTCACAAGATCCGCATAAACATATCCTTCGATATATCCCAAGATGAAGAAGTCCATTGGCGTCAGGTCTGGAGAGCGAGGAGGAAATTTAAATGGCCTATTGCAGCTATATACAAACTATTTCGTCTACATTTTGTTAAATTTTATTTTCTATTGTTATATTTTATCTATTAGATATGTGAAGTTAGTTTTGCTCAAATTGTGTTTCTGTGTATTTGTGTTTTTGAATTGTTTCTTTTCTTTTATTCTTTGAAATGCTATATATACCAGATTTTTTAACAAGCTTTGTCAATGAGATTGTATTTTCTTGGACAATAAAGTATATGTCTATCTATCTATCTATCTATCCAGCTAGGGACACAGACCAGAATATTTTATCAAACACATTCAACTTAAAAGCCCTAACAGATAGAAGAAAATGCAACGCAATTATGTTTTTAGTTGAACTTTTGAATAGGTAGCGAAATTAATTGTAGTGACTTGTTAAGTACCCAGATCGCAATCCAGGATAATTTCTACAATAGGAATCCTAGAAAGAATTTATTGAAAAAGTCGCTGATATTTGTAATGTGCGAGTTGTTCAATATAGTGTCCGACTTGTACGATATACATCATGACAGCAACAGTTTATTTTAAGAACTATTAAAAATTCAATGTTATGATTGTTTTCTATTTTCCTTGTGTAGTCTGAATCTTTTTTCATTTATATATACTTCCTAATTATTTGTATTTTGTCTATTTGTGGGTATGAACCTGTTGAGAATAGACATATTATCATTATTATTGTAACGTTTTTCCAAGTTTGTTTACAATGAATAATCACCGCGAAGCGGTGTGACAAGAAATGCATAGAGTTATAAATATTTTAAATAAAACTCCGAAAAGCTACTAGTGAATAATATCAACATATAATTCGTTGTACAACCACATGACCAAGTTGACACCACCGACAATTGAATACAATTCCACTCATTACGAAAACATCCTATCTATATCAAGTCTCATTAACGTTTATCAATCTTACAATCAGGAAATGAGTTTAATGAATATTCTATCCTAATTTGCATTTTTCAAATGTGCCTTCTTGATATAATAATAATTTTCTATTCGGACGAAACTTGGTATGACACTCACAACACAATTACGAAAGGGTGGCTGATGGTTCGAGAATGTGTACGCCTAACATACCTGCAAACAAAGGATCACGACTCATCATTGTGCATTGCGGAGGAAGTGAAGGATGGGTTTCGAATTCTTTGAAATTATGGTGTTCCTCTTCTTCTACCTTGGACGCGAATTTTATTTTTTATCGTAGCCATTCGGTTGTAACACAATTCTTACGTGTTTCATTTCGTCATCGACCTACCTTCCTTCATATATCATCAAAGCTCTGTTCGCTAGTATGTTAATGACGGTTCGTTTCTGTTTTTGATGATGACTGGATCCACATGTTGGATCGACATGTATGTGTTCTTCCTGTACACCTTATGGCCTAGCTGATCACCTTTCTCGATAACAAAACATCAACGAATGGGATTTGGAGTTCCAATGTAAACCGACCCATAGCTACAATGAATCCTGTACACCCCGGATGTTGCCTTATGTTGTCTGGGTTCCCCAGCTGAAAGTTTTTATTTCCCATCGTGTTTCCATCGGGATAACATGTTTGTTTGATATTATCAGATAAATAAAAGTTCTCACAAATGCTTCAAACTATTTAATTTCGAGTAAACGGTAAGTACATAAGTTATACATCATACATCATTGGAAGCGAGGTCGAGTCCGGTGATCCCTCTCAAAACATGAGGACATTCTGAAAAAAATCAAAATATCACGGAACTAATCAAATCTCTACACAACTCAAACCACATTATGAACAGAGCAGATATAAAAAGTTTTCCCTCCTTCTGACTTTCGAACGGAAAAAGATATTGATAGCTCTGTTGTCAGGTATTTCAATTCTTCATCTGATACTGTTCTATTTTTCGAAACTGGATCAGTCATTCCTGTTTAGATAACAGTTTTATATCAATTTCAAGAATCTGCCAACAAAAAGTATCATAATATGATTGAAAAAATGTCTTTCAAGCTCACTCCAGTTCATCGTAATTATTGTTAGAAATAGACACAGTTGACTTCCTGACGATGATGAAGTTTGTTTACAAATTCATTTCCCACATTATGAAACGTTTCTGGACTAATTCCGTTAGGAGCACCTTATTCTATGCACGAGCTCCAAAACAGACAGCGTGTTTGTAACGTATACTTTACATTTCACGAATCGCCCACAAATAAATCAATGGGTATCATGTCAGGTGATGTAGCGGGTCGCCTATCGACCCGTTTCGATAATTGCCATCGAATTTTCATCCGAACCAGCCTATCATTGCTGAAACGTAACATCACTTGACGTGGACCCTTAGAAGAGTTCACTAGATTACCGCATATGAAGCCTCTAGATGTTTTGGAGGTGATACGTCATATGTGAAGTCTACGATACAAAACCGTAGTCAATTTCATAATTCGTAAATGAAAAATGTGGTGTTCGCAACACAATTTCATCAGGAAAGTTTTTCATATGATGAAATTGGCTGATGCTTGATGAAAATCCATTTTTAACAAAAACGTGTTTCGTCATATAATGACTTCTTCAGGCGTGTTTTCTTACCAACTAAATCTGCATATTCTATGCTTAGTAAACCTAATGTTACAATTTGATGTACCTACGTTTCAAGTACCTGAGTTTTACCTGTTCATTTGATGTTTCACGTGTACCTGAGTTTATAATGAATCAAATTACCTGGGCTTATATCCTAGTTTCCACATTTGACAAAATATTTATTAACGAGAGCTTATTCAATTCTAATTGATCAATCAGTAAATTACCCGAATTCTTGAATCTTTTGACTTCTCAACATTCTAGAAGATTGGGTTTCAAACTTTTCCTTCTGAATGTAACACGTCGTATTTATGATTGAATTCATGTCCTTTGGTTAAAAGGTGGTTTGCAAATGTGGAATTGATCTTTCTATTTACAAAACTACTTTTATGATCTTTGATTCTTTGGGAAAATGTTTCCCCTGTTTGGCCAATATACAGTTTTGGACAAGAGCCACAAAACGGCTTATATACTCCTAATTTATCCGACACCAAAGTTTTGTCGGATATTTATTTAGACAATTATTCGTTCTGTAAGCTAAGTTAACGCATTCTTTTTTCTAGAAATGGGCAATATTATTGGTAGGTATATAAGCTGACTTGTGGCTCTTGTCCAAAACTGTTTATTAATCAAACAGAGAAAACATTTTCTTAAAGAGTTGAAGAGAATAGAAGAAGTTTTGTAAATGAAAAGACCAATTCAACATTTGCAAACCACCTTTTAGCAGAACGACGAAATCGTGAATATGACGTGTTCAGAAGAAAAAGTTACAAACTCATTCTTCTAGAATGTTGAGGAATCAATAAATTCAAGAATTCGAATAATTCACTGAATGATCCATTAGAATTAAATAACTCACCATTTTCAAACGTGGAAACTGGTACATAAGCTCCAGATATGTAATTCATTAAAAACTCAGGTGTATATGAAACATTAAATGACCAGGTAAAACTCAAGTACTTGAAATGTAGGTACTTTGAATCGTGAAGTCAGGTATATAAAGCATTGAATATGTAGAATATAGTTAGTAAAGATATGCCCGAAGAAGCCATTTTATGGCGAAACACGTATTGCATTTTTGTAAAACTATTTAGTGGAAATCTTAAAACGAAGTGTTTTTTCAATACATTTTAAACGTTTCGTAATGTAAGAAACGAATTTGTAATTGACTCTCTCATTGTGAGGAAATGAATGGTGAATATTATGAACACATTTATTATGAAATGAATGTATTTTTCATTTTTTTCAGATCTATAAGAGAAATATAAAACTGCTGAGTTCTCAGGAATAACTGATCCGATTTCCAAAAACAAAACAGTATTGGAACGATAATTGTAATTGCTATCGAACTAGTTATCACAAGAAACCCTTTCCATCTGGAAAACCGAGCTTTTTCAGGTGAATTTTGTCTTACCTCGATCTAGTTCAGAAGTCAATAGAGGGATACATTTCACGTCTGCACTAAATCGATAACATATCACTAGTTCAATAAACAAAACTACTCACAACTGAATCTTTCTTGTACAGACATTGTTGCATTACAAAAATCTGTTCGTATTGTTCGCCACCTGGAAAGTAAATATTTTTTCAAAAAATGTAGGTCTTGTTACATTTGAAAAAATTTTATATAGAGAGCATACGAAAATATCACTGTTTCTAGGCTAGAGAAAATCCAAAAAAAAAAGGAGATGAAAACTTTTTGGAAACTTTCGATAAAAATGCAATTTAATTTTCATTTTGTCTTCATAACAACCTTATTTCTTATAATATCTGGCCGGCGATATATCTTCCGTGGTGAAAAAAGACATTTTTCTTCTCTGATACCCCCTTTCCCGAGTAACACACGAAAGGAAAATGGAATGATTTTGTCAAAAATGTAAACATAAATAATATTAGAATATTGAAATTGGGAAAATTCTAAAATAAATTCAAAAAAACTCCTGTTGTTTATGTAAATCTTTTTCAAATATTTTTTTTCAGCAACCATCCGGGAGTAGCCACTTTCTTGACGCTTCTTTATATGAAAATATTGTATGTATGCATGTATGTATGAAAATATTGATATGTATGGTTCTGAGAAATGCAGTCGATTATTACGGTAGCAGCAAAATAATGACTGAAAGCTATCTGACATGAAATTGAACTTTATTAGTTTGAACTTTCATTGTCTAATATGATATGATTTGAAATATCTGAAATATCAAATGAAAATTCGACACAATAAACCCGCACAGCAATGAAAATCAGCAAATCAGAGAGTTCTGCACTGCTGTCACCATTAGTGAGTGCTGTTGTTCTACCCCGAGGTAAGTATACGTCTCTTCAGCATCCAAATGGTGAAGGATGCTTCTATCTACTAGCTGCACATCCTCTCCGTAGTCCTCGCATCGTCCTCTTTTGAGATGGACCATTGCACATTTGTCTTTCACCACCCTCAAGGACGGATGGAGATCCTTCTTTCCAGAGGCATAAAGTTTGAGATCATCCATCTAAAACAATTGAGTGACCTTGTGCCTCCGGTTTCCGGAGGTGCCACAGTTATTCCCTTGAGTATTTCTGAACGCAACAAATAATGGTCATAGTGAGATGTAGACGAGAAGGGGACTAGGGAAATCCTTCTGAAATACACCCCTTATGAAAGTGACCCACCCTGTTTGGACTCTGGCTTGACCAGATGTTATGGTGAAGCGAGTTCGCCAGAGTGGTATCAGTTGTTCAACGCATCTCATTATTTTGTCCGGCTGAACCGGTCCGGTTTTGCACCAGTTGCTCGGGTAAGTGGTGGCGCAACTCACCAAAGGCCAAGGGTGTTAGTGACCATCCCTGCTTAGAAAAGAGACATTAAATATTATCATTATTATCATACTATTTATTTGGATGGAAATGAATATCGTATAACTCTGGAGCATCCCTTGGACACACCTTTCAATGAATTGGTACATCCACAGGATGTTCCTGGAACTAGTGTATTTTTGGAACATACTTAGGAAGTACCTGATATAGCTCATTACCTGCTTGTTTTCCCTCATTGAGACAACCTTCCACCATATCTAGTTCCTCTTTAATTTCCAGACGACGTGGTAGACAATACATCAGCCTGTAAGGAACCAAATCCAAGTTCTCATCCATCTGAAAAAAATCAATTCAAACGGGATTTTTTGTTACGAATTATAGTCAAGCATGTTTTCCAATATACTTCAACAATGAAACTACACTCATTAAATTTTTCATCATAGAAATGGTTCTCTACATGAGTTTAAATCGACAGGAGGCATGAATAATCGCTACTCCAAAGTAGATTCGTTTGTGAGTGAATTTTTGATATTATCTAACATCTAGTCTACGACAGAAATCCTACTCAGGCAGATGAATGAATCTGGTAGTTTTGCTACACATCATTATTGGGAAAAAACAAAGGTAAAGCTTTCTTTACCTTTGTTTACCATAAATCAATCTCTTCTAAAATTATCCCTATTGAATATGACTAGATCGTTGTGTTTTTGCACTCGATGAAAATATCCAACAAGGATGTAGTAGTTTTATCAATTTGTCCCATAATTAGTATAAATAATGTGTTTTTCAGCAGAAACATATTCTGAGATTTTACCAAACCTTCTAGTGAAAATGTAAAAAACTGGTTGATAGTGAAAATTACGTTCAACGTTACTTACGATACCGGCACTTCTCCACATGCAGAGCAAGTATTTCTGTAAAAAAACTAAGAGTTAGTTTGGTAATAAGAAAAAGTCATTATGCTTCAATGTAAAAATGTGACTCTGATGCACTTTTCTAAGTAAAAGAAACTATTAGTACTACTTATACTAGCCGAATAACTAACATAATCTGATCAAAATCAGGAAAAAGGTAGAAAAGATCCTTTGGGATCCACCAAAAGTATGAGAACAAATGAGGAGTCTAGCGGGAAATGTATAGAAAGCCTCTGAGAATTTGAAAAAGCAATCAAATGTTCATCGTCTGATAGACCCTATTATGGTTTGGACAAATTTCATAACTTCCACCAACACTTATTCTGAAATACAACGTACCCCAAGTTAATGTTAGTATCAAACTAAATTATAAGTTTCATCTAGCATCTGCAATAACTCATACCATTTTTAAGTTTTGTGTAATTTTTTTCCTCTTGGTGATCGAAACCCATGTCGCGGTGTTAAAATAATGGTTTCACTACAATAAAGGTTCCAAACTGTTCATCACAAGTTAGTATATGCTTGCTTTGCCAATAATATCCGTTCTTCTGACAATAAAGCTCATTCATCATTATATCGAAACCCATGTTGTTGTATCAGTTAGTTACAGTTTCGAGGAAAAGTTTGGAGTGATAATGAACAGCCCCAAAAGAGATATATGAGTATCATTGATGAAATGTACTGATGCCTCCGAAATGGATACAAAAACTTTTTGACAGTGTCAAAACTCCAGCACTATAGAAATCACTCAGAAAAGACGTTTACTCGGAGGTTTTTTAGAAGATACACTCAACAAGGATATTTTTTAGTAACATTCAAAACTAGGAAGTCATTAACTTGTTACTCTGAACTCATTTGGAAGTGGAAAACTCACTTAGGTCCTTTGACAGAACAATAAAGTAACTTTCATGTGGGTACCAGAAACCAAAGAGGTTGCTGAAGTCATTACAAATTAGAAATTTCGAAGTTCTTCCTTTGACCAGGAACTCCTCTATGAACTCTCGATGAACCACATAAAGAAATAATCTCTCAGTATAATGAAAGTCTAATGAAAGGGTCGATTATCCATCGCTAAAGAAAGCTTGATAGTTTCAAGGATTGAAAATGACTGAGATTGATGAGCATACATACAAAACACTGCCACTACCATGAAATAGAAATATCGGTCAGTGAGAGTTATCGCTACTAGGGTTATGCTGTTGGTTTGGAGTCAGGTCTGCAAAAGGTTCTCATTCTTTGACGGAATTGCATTCCAGAAAACTGTTGAACTTTTTCAGAAGTCGCAACATTCCGGGTCTTGAATAGATGTATTTCGCAAACCAAGTTAATCTGAAGCTCACAATAAACTATGGACTTTCCTCCTCTTCCTCTTGAAGATGATCACTTGGTGATCGAAGCACGTGTCGAGGTGTTGAAATAACGGTTTGTTGTTGGGAAAAAACTCCAGCAATATTCATTACTACACCAAAGGTTCCAAACAGTGCATCACAAGTACATGAGATTGTCAAGACATATATACCATCAGAGAGAGCAATGACTCGATATTCGATAGAACTCAAAATTACTATGCAAGGCTATTTAGGAAGGCGATAAAAATTCAGAAACATAGATATCATCTTGATAATAGGTTAGGTTCAAAGTAAGTGGGTCTATTCGACCCTCAGCAATATAAAAATCATGCATTGAAAGGACAACCAGAGCATTTCGTTGATTGACTCACCGCTGACATAAAAACCTGCAAACCACTGTCTATAAACCCGAAAAAATACTCTGAAACACTTTTGTTTGTTTGTTTCGAAACAGTGTGTTGTATTCTGTATTGTCTGAATTGAAATAGAATGTGATAACTGTTCAAATTAAGGATGAAATATACGTAATATCAAACCTTCATGTTAACATCGTCGGTAAAATGACCAGCCTTCAGGCTAGCTAACTCTTCTTCTGTAATTCCAGTCACATCTCGACAAGTAGTATGCCATTGTTTGACCTCAATAATTCGACGTTCATCATATTCCTGAAAAAAGGCTTTGATTCATAAATACGAATAATAAAAGTTAAAATATATTGCAATCATTCCGAATATATTTATTGTAGTTCAGACGCTATGGGCACTAGCCTTGTGCTCTGCTTAAGTTGTATTCATAATTTTTCGAGCCACCCAGGCAGCATCATGACTATGATGAAAAAAACTAGTAGTTTGTTTGCTACCTGTGCAGGTTACATTGAAAATACACGATCCGAATCAGAATAACACTTTATGGTGATATTTTTGACTGAACAGTGTACAAAACCGCAACACAGGTTACACAATACAATAGCTTCCTCACTCCCCTTCGGCCAGCAACTACCCAATTTTTATCTCTTCAGTCGTCTTGAAATGTCGTCTTTCATGGCTCTCTTCATTCTTGAAAATAGGAAAAGTCGCGGGGGACCAATTCCGGTGAATACGGTGGCTGAAGCTTGATTACGTACAATTAGTCATTTGAACATCCACCTTATTTTTTGAACATACCTTGTACAGTGTTACTGAACACATTGTGGATTATCCAAAGCACTCTACAAAGTCACCAAGGATAATACAGATTCATAGTGAAATATTCAAGAAACAAAATGTATCCTGTTACTAACCCAGCCTACTATAAATACTATTAGAATACTAGAATATATACTATGGAAATACAACAAGACTCGGATATATATTGCTATCTCAATTGATATATATACATAGAATATAAGTATTATACACTTACATCAATTGTTAAGTCAGCACTCGTCAAATAGAGGGAATATGCAAGCAAAAATATCTTGGCGACTGCGTACATTGTGTAGTGATCTTTATCTGTAAAACTGATAATCAATGATGAAGCAAATGAAGTAAATTGGTTGTCAATATAACATAAATGCTGAGTTTTTCGAACTGAAATTAAGGTTACGGAACTGAGATAATTTTGTAGACATCTTTGGCATATTTGGTACATATGTTCCAAACGTGGAGTGTACTCCAGGTCACTAAGCCTAAGTATTAAGTGGGGAATGGGAAAAAATACCAGAGTGGTCCAAACACAACTGGCTGGTATCTCAATCGCCACAAAAGAAATAACCAGGAAAGGAATTTCTGGCAAAAACATAATAATCTGCACTGACAGCAGACAAGCCCTATTAGCCTTGAACACACAACGTATCACCTCAGGGCTAGTACTAGAGTGCCACCAAGATTTTGCTAAAGCCTCGGTAGATAATAACATTAACCTGAGGTGGGTTAAAGGGCACGACAGGAGTGAAGGTAATCGCATTGCCGACTCTTTAGCCACCTACGGCCTGATGACTTCGACAATTGCTTAACCAGCCAAACGTCACACCCATGCTCAATCCCTGAATAGATGGGATGAAACCAAAGAATGCAATCTTGTCAGCATCACCCTGTGCGATCCTGGGAAGCTGGCGCCGAAGAAATATCTGGCGATGACCAGGAAACGCTCAACAGTAGGATTTCTGACTGGCCATTGTCAACTAAGGAAACACCTCCACAATATGAGGCTAGTGAACACACTTCTATGCAGGATGTGTGAACAGGAAGATGAAACTGTCAGGCATGTCCACCCTCCTCACCCTCCCTACTCTACAGATACAGATAGAAATGACAATGAGTTAACAAAGTACCAATCATCTACAAACCAACACTCATAATTCCAAATTTGTTGGAGCAAGTTAGATTTTATACTGACGAAATATCAGTTAGGGATAGTTTTGAAAAATCAAATGTTGTTGAATTCTTCCTTCATTTTCGAATAAAACTCGCTGTTTGTTTCAATTTCAAAATTCATTAAGTTGATTTTTAACATCTTTTACTTCAGAAAAATTTCCTCTAGTGAACTGTATAGCATACCACAACCAAAACGAGCTGAGAACTCATTTTCATTTTAATTTCGGTCACCCATATTTTTATTTTTCTTATGCTTCACTCCATATTCAGACTAGCGAACCACCCCGGCTCCGCACAGATGCAATGCTGATACTAAATATAAATTCACCCATCGGAGATTTAAGGGCATGGAGAAACAGTGATGATAAGTTGATTTTGTTTCATGGACGGCTGGCACCCCAGTTGGGATATTCAAAAATCCTTTCTCATTGCATAACTATAATATAAAACGAACCTACATACGAAATTTCAGTCTCCGAAAATATAGCGGAACGGATAAGCAATGATATAATGGTGATTTTCATATGTAAGAGCACCCCTTTTATCTCCAGTGGGTGAGCCCCTGTTGGAATATTTGAAAATCCTCCCATAGTGCGCATCTAAGACCTAAGTACCACATAAACGGCAAATTTCAGCTACCTAGGACTCACCAGTACGGAGGAACAGAGATAAATGAGTGTTAAGTTACTTTCGCATTGATAAAAAATGTAGATTGCTCTTCACTATTTTCATATGAACATATATACATATACTACGCAGGTACTACGTTTACTTACATGACCAAGTTGAGACCATCGACAATTGAATACAATACCACTAATGGCGAAAGCATGGTATTTATATCAAGTCTCATTAATGAATATCAATCATCCGAACAATTTAAAATGAGTTTAATGAATATTCTTTTCTAAATTGTCCTTTTCAAATGTGCCTTCATCATAATAAAGTTTTTTTTCAAGTTTGTTTACAATAATTATTCACCACAAAACGGCAAGACAAGCAATGGATTGTTCAATAATTATTTTCAATACAAACCTATTTTTTTTACCTATTTTGAGTATTTTCTACTTTCCACAATCTTGAAAAAAAATGAAAATTGTAAGGGAGAACTGTATACACATGTAGAAAGGGCAAACTCTTCAGTTCACCCCAATAAGTTACTGCATAAGTTCAGAGTGTTTTTTTGAACATTTGTCTCAACCTGGCAAAATTCTCAAAAAGAAAATATTCACAAAAAATCAATATCTGGGTAGGAATATTCAAAAACCGTATGATAGTTCCAGTGTTTTTTCAAAACACACGGTGAGGTACTTTATAATTCTTTGACAACGAAATTCTTGGATTCCATGGGAGAACTGAGCATTGAAGAAAACAGAAATGTTATATTTCAGCTAGACGGTGCCTCTTTTCACAATGTGATTGCTGTTCGGCAATATCTTGATGAAAAATTTGAAGGAAGATGGATTGGAAGAAACAGTCCTTTTATTTGTTGGCCCCCCCGATCACCAGACCTGACTCCATTGGATGAAACAAAGTGTTTATAGAAATAGACCACGAAACTTGAACGTATTGAAAGAGATGATAATGCAAAAGTGTGGTGAAATAACAACAGGCCAATGGAGGATGACCCAACAGAATTCGAGATGACGTTATGAAAAATGTAGAATGTAGAATGTAGAGCTTGAAGAAGGATATATTGCAAACTTTTCTGTAAAGTTTATAGACTTTCATTCAGGGTCAGTGAAAAAATCATAGATTTGGACATTTGTCATCATATAACAGTACATAACATGTATGAGATATTGGGCTGAAACTTAGAATCTAGATGTTCGAAATATGCCCAAATCCAATAGGGTATCCGCTTTCCCGATGAAAAATGCCTGATGGTCCTTCTCGAAGTTTCGACCCATTTTGCAGGTCAAGTAAGCCTTGAAAATGATAATAATTCATATCTGTCATATCTGTCTGGATAGAGTATATTGACGCAAAACAAAAGCAAAAAGCCTCTACCGAATGTTTTACAATTTTATTTCAAGTAAGTTGCACAAAACATGAATAAATTATAACTGCTGATGGAGCCGAAGTCTAATCTGTCGTGCCATCTCAAAGCAAGAGAATATTCTGTAAAAATAAAAAAAAATCACATGAACTATCAAATTTCTAAACAACTCAAAAGAAATATACGATATAACCAAAACGTACAGTCGAAGTAAACGACTCTTGTGCATTCTTGAAGTTAGCGGCACTCTCAAAGGCCAAAAAAACCAATACATAGAAATGAACCGGCGGCAAACTAGTTCACGTGGACTGTAGACTCGGCGTTTCGTATTGGATAATTTTTACCAACCGAGTTTTATGATTAGTTGGAGAGTCAAAAAATTAAATTCGAAGTCATTTTTGTTATCTGTTTAAAATGTGGCGTCCTGGGACAAGTACTAATAGTAATCACGGGTGTGATAACAACGCAGGTTTTTTCCAGTGTAGTGATTCCAATAGCGATGGTGAACAATGCGAAACAGAGATACCAGTGAATATTGAAACACAGAAAGAAATTGAATACTTCCTGCCATCACGTGAGCTGCCGTGACAAAACTCTTCAGAATTGGATACGTAAACTAGGATTTAGATTTAAAATAATAAACAAACGTCAAGCAGTTATGGAAAGCAGAAGAATAGTGGAATTGCGTAGCAAATACTTAGAACAAATAACTGAATATAAACGAGAACAACGGAAAATTTTCTATTTGGACGAAACTTGGCATGACACTCACGTCACAGTTACGAAGGGGTGGACTGTTGGTTCGAGAATGTGTACGCCTAACATTCCTGCAAACAAAGGATCATTGTGCATTTCGGAGGAAGTAGCGGATGGGTTCCAAATTCTTTGAAATTATGTGGAAATAAACTTGAGGACTGCAATGTTGACTATCATAAGAACATGGAAGCTGATATTTTCGAGAAATGGTTTCAGAACATATTGATCCCAAATTTGAATGCAAATAAAGTAATAGTTCTTGACAACGCTTCCTATCATTCGCGACAGCTCATCAAAGTACCGAATAAAAATTCGAGGAAAGATGAAATACCTACAAGGTTTTTATTGGATCACAATTTGTATTTTCAAGATTAGTATACCAAAAACCAACTACTCGAAGTTTTTCAAACAAAAACATTTGAAAAAGCGTATGCCCTTGAGAGTATTGCTGAAAAGTATGGACACACCATTCTGAGACTTCCCTATTTTTGTATTTACAATCCTATCGAGTTGATTTGGGGAGAATTGAAACAAAGCATCAGGAGTAAACATAATTTTTCAAAATCTGATAATAAGGTAATAGAGCTGATTGACGGAGAAGTGTATAATATTAACGAAGAAGACGAAAGACGAAGAATCGAAAAGTAATTTTAGTTGAAAAAGACTATATGGAGATTGGACATTTCCATATTGATGGTTGAAATAAATTCATTATTGATTTGGATGACGACAGTGATAGTGAAACAGAAAATATGGAAGAGGAAGTATCAGATGCTTTCGAACAAAGTAAGTGAAGTGTTTATAGAGCGATCGATTGTGTATATGTGTAATTTCAAATATCATGTTATTGGAATCCCTACTTTCCCACTCACCTATATTAACGACATATTTATTGTATATAATTATACATATTTTGATATATAGAAGAATATCTATATATTATAGCTATTGTGATTCTTATATAATCAGAAATGATTATTGGATAACGAAATTAGTTAGCTCGCTAACTATAATATTAAAGGAGAACTGTTGGGAGGTAGGGTGCACTATATCGTTTACTTGAACTATAACATCTGAGATTTCGAAAAATCTACTCACCACACCATCCTTCTTGTGCATGCATTGTTGCATTTTGAAAATTTGTTCGCATTTTTCTCCACCTGGAAATCAAAATATTTTCTGAGAACGACCTTGAATCAAGAATATTTTTTCACAACCTTTCATTTAACATGCAATGACTGTATGTTACATCCGCAATTGATTGAGCTGAAAATGCATGATTAGCTGAGTGACATTATTCAACACTCAATATGACGGTCAGACCAAGATGGCGGACGGTTATTTTCATTCACCCCCATGATATATGATTCAATGGAAAGAGATTGCTGGAACGAATACGAAAGACAGTACGACGTCACCCTAAATCAAATATGGTGGACTGGTTATTTAATACACCCCCATGGTGGAGGTATAAGATGAAATGGTTCTTTGAAGAAATAACGAAAAATGAAATGACGCCACTCTAAATCCAATATGGCGGACTTCCAAAGATGATGCACCTTATGTACTTCCGTGATATAGATATCAAATTCCAAATAGAAGTAATAATAATAGTGGTCGAGAATATTTCTACTCATTTCTTTATTTTTCAAATTTCAATTCGTGTATTACCTGATTTTTTGCCCTCGTCAAAACAACTCTGCACCATTTCTGCTTCTGCATCAGTTTGCAAGCGCTTAGGAAGCCAGTGCAAAAATCTTTTTTTGTTGAATTCCATATCCTTGCTTATCTGAAATGATAGAATATGAGTTTGAATGTAAATGAATGCGCTTCAGCACAAATTGAGTGGAATCTATTGGGAAAAATCTAACCCATCTTCCGCCACTTGCAACTCAAAAAATTGATCTAAATGCAGACGTAGTTTTCGAGACTTTATTGGCTCTTCATCAAGAGCTCTACAATGAATTGATAAAATTGATTTGAAAATTTGTAGAACATGTGAAACTTACGAAAGTGAGGTTAGTAAACCCTTTCACTTGCCCCCATTTGTAGAAATAACACATCCCAAACGACGAACACTCTTGGTTTCATACTCAAGTTGTTTTTACCATAAAGTCAGTTTAATCAATTCATTGTAGAGTTCCTGATGAAGAGACAATAAAAATTCGAAAGCTCAAACAGAGCAGAGTTCACTTATTTTACGATCCTCTTGTTGACGCCTAAATTCTAGTGTTTGGGAATAGTACTCATTTCGAATTCATTTTATGCCACAGGGTCGAGTTCTACCTTTCAATGAACAATCAATTCAATAATTCTCAACTTCATTCAAAGGTACCAGTAATAGAAGTATTCATTTGTTACGTAGTGTACTATTTGAAAAAAATGCTACTCGTGTTATTATTCTGATACTTCATTTGTGAAATATTCCCAAAAACACACCGCAAATAGGATTTAAAAATCGTAGCCAAGAATTTTCCATGAGTATGACGCATTAGGTAGAAAAATTAATTTACTGAAAATAGTAATCAGTCCCTCATTTCTGGTTTATCTAAGGTCTTCCAACAGTCTGTTTTTCCAAATCACCGTGGACGAATAAAGCAGTCAACAACACGTGCAAATTATAAAAGTTGTTCGGCCATTTAACGGTTGCCCATTTTACGGTCGCCATAATCGTCCTACTGAAAGAACAATTTACAACGTGGTGAATAAATTCGAATCCACTGGTTCAGTAAATGATCGACCAATACCCGTACACCGACGAAACTCAAGATCTGCCGAAAACATCGCCGCTGTCTGTGAGAGTGTGCAGAAGAATCCGAGGCATCGCTCACAAGAACTTCGGCCTGCACCTGTACAGTGCAATGCTAGCTCTCACACATCAGCTCAAACAACTGCATTTTTGAGCACCCAAAACATCGATTTGATTAGTCATCCGCCGTATAGTCCTGACTTGGCACCGAATGACTTCTTTTCATTCCCGGACGTAAAAAACAAACTGAAAGGTCAACGTTTTTCGACACCTGAAGAAGTGTTTGCTGCATTCAGAATGCATGTTTTGAAGATACCTCAATCAGAGTGGCAAAAGTGCTTCGACAATTGGTTCAAACGTATGCAAAAGTGTATAGATCTTCATTGGGAATATTTTGAAAAACAATAAAGTGATTTTCGATGATTAATATTTGTTTTTGTTCTCTAATCCCGAAATATAAAAGGCAGCCACCGTATTATATTCCACGCATAATGACATCTTTCGATCTTTCGAACGAATGAAAAATTTCGATGATATCTCACACACACTTTGTTTATTCAAATTCAAAGATAGGAAAGACTAATCAAGTTACACATAATGTAGTGAGACGGTAACTTACGACTCCAGTAGCTCTCCACATGCAGAGTAAGTATTTCTGAAAATAAAAATATGAATCAATTAATCTACAATGCATTACTTCAAGTATGACTATTGGAAAAAACTTCAATTATATGACTGTTTCTTGTTGGATGAATAATTCAGAAATATGATAAAACTGACCGCGATACTTGATGAAAATTCATTTTAACGTTTACAAAGCCGCGACGTGTTTCGCTTTATAATTGCATCTTCAGGTGTCACAATATTCTGACGCCTGAATTACCATCTTTTTCAGCCTCAAGTCATTGCATTGATCAGTATATTCAAAATGTACGAAGTTCCATACCTTCTGGTTAGCATCTTCAGTAAAATTACCATTTTGCATATTGGCCACTTCTTCATCTGTGACTCCGGTCACATCTTCGCAAACGTCATGCCATTTTTCGAGTTCGTTTAGCTGAATTGCATCATATATCTGAAAGAAAAAGTTTGAGGTCACTTTTGATACATACGAAAATACAAGGGATTGTAATAGAATGAAATACTCTATAAATTTCATTGTTTGACTATATAGATAGTTTCATTCGTAACCCAGTATCTGACAGACTCACCTTTGATGTTACCTTAGCTCCTGTCGACCATATGAAAAAAGTTACCAAAAATATTTTGGTTACTGACCACATTTTGGAAAAATTGATAACTGAAATGATAAAAAATACTTTTACATAAACTGAAATCAACTTTCAATACATGATTAGCAAGATATCATTCATTCATTCGATTAAATATTCAGTTAAATTCGGTTAAATAATTAGATTACAAGAATAACTATTTTATGTGCTATTTTGAAATCATCAAAAAGTCGAGAATTACACCTAAGCATAGAATATGCTTGTTTGAATTGAAGGGGTTATATTTTTAGGGGTGATTAATTTTTAGGGAAAGAAAGTTTTTGGCTTTCTACTACTCCATCTTGATACAAAAAAAAGGGATGAGGGTGACAGTGTTCCATGTAAGTGCAATTTATTACCATTCATTCAAAGTAGAAGTCATGTGAATAATATCTGGAAGTGGAACAGGAACAGGAGTGGGTATTGATTTAAAAAAAAGGATTTTACATTATTTGATATATAATTGTATAATGTAAGTCCAACATTTTGTGGTGATTTTGTAAAATATATGTGGTTGAATTTTTCGATGATTATATATAATTCTTAGTATGCATTTTTGGAGAACAAAGACTCTTGTCCATTCAGTTGTAATACCCCCAAATATTATGGTGAATGATGAGTTCGAATAGCCTACGGAGTAATATACTTTCAGGAGAGACGATTCATGAAGAGATTATTATTATTTTCATGTCGGCTGCATACATAAACACCTCTCCCCCTTCAATGAAGTCAGGTACGTCATTCATGTACAACAGGAATAAGAGTGGTCCTAAGATACTCCCCTGAGGGATTTCAATACCTACATTATATTGGCTAGAGAGATCATTCCCGATTTTCACATATAATTGCCTTTCCGTTACATAGAAAATTATTCAGTGCTTAAAAGGGCCCCGCAATCCTAACCGTTCCAGTTTTCTTTCGAGAATATTTGTAAAATAATGAATCGTTCGTTCATGTGACGGTACAGAATATTTTGCATGAGAATGAGGGTCTACGATTTCAAAAAGTTGAAGTGAACACTTACAGCACTTCTTCATAAAATTTTTAGATAACTTACCTACCACAGCACTTTTTTCTCACAATATTGTGTGTGATAACGAAGTATGTTATTTATACCAGGATCATATCTGTTTTTATTCGAACTCAAGGAAATTGGTCAGGCGTGAAAAAATGGATCTATGAATATGTTGATGACTAGGTAATGATTGTCACCTCATGAGCTGTATATCACAGCTGATAGTACAGTTGAAGTCATTTCTATGCCTTCAGTAATTCATTTATACCAAGTTCTCATATTTTCACCTGATTCCATAAAGTGAGTAATCAGTCACTGCTTCGAACTCCACAAGACATCTACAATTTTTTCCAACACAGTTTCAATTCCCTCCAATTTATACATGGATAGATTTTTTTAAGTGAAGGTTCACCAATATATTCTTAAATTTTGCTGACAATGTGAGTGCACTCATATCATCTCATTCGAAAATACCGTAATACCCGATAAAACTCAAAATTGCTATCTAAGAGACGCAATAAAAATTCAAAATCTCAGGGATAATTTCAATAAAAAAGAAGAGGCAATGAACATTGATGAAATCTGGCTACCTCTTTAGATAGAAATAATAACGATAATAATCATATGGAAGGGGTCGAAGGCAAGGTGATGAACCCCAAACTGATGATTAGCTACTTCTGTTGATGACCGCTACGACACCGGAGTGGATAAGTCAACTATGAGAAAGCCTCTATGGTATTAAATATAACCGAGGCATACCGCCTCTCCTCTACAAAGTCTAGAGGATTATGTATCCTATCTTCATCCGCGAGGCTATGTAGTTTCTCCTCGACCTGCCAACGAACTGATGAAGGGGACGTTCCTGCCTCCTGTAGACTTCATCATAGGGAAAACCCACATTATGCCACGTAGGAAGTCAGTTGGAACACTCAAAGCGCTCCTCTTGAAGCCACACCAAGTGGCTCCAGTGAATACGGAGCTTCATGATGTTCTCAAACAAGAGATTGACAAATAACGACTGTCGCGTCGTTATAACCATTTCCCAATCGTAAAGGATGGATTCCGTCCAGTAGACCAAGTTTATGGATCAACAAGCATTGCGTATCCAATATGTGATGGAATACTGAGCAGATAATTGACTTTTCACGCCTGCAATGCCATGCAGGGATGCTGAACTGAGACCTGCCTGAAGTCACTAGTGAAGCGGGTGATAGGTATTGTACTAGATTCCATGAGAATCCCTTCTCGCTCATTTCAAGAGCCTATTGCGGATAATCCGCTCACCAGAGATAATCCTACTGGAAGAATATTTGAGCATCGTCAACCACTCAATCTAGAGCCAGTGGCCTGCCAAGCTTGGTCCAGATGACGAAGTTCTTCTTCGACAAGATGAGTCTCACAAATCCTGGTGGCATGATCAGCAAGGTTTCTCATTATGACACTCTTGTCCTGGTTCAATCACTTCACTGAAAAAGGGAAATCATATATTCAAAAAGTTCAACACTACTTCGAAATAGGAGTATAGATCTGAGCAACTTTTGATGAAATGCAAAGCTCAAAATGTTCACGTCCTCAAAATAAGCCAGTACCTGAAAATTCAAACCTAGTACCATCTTATATACCAAGTATAGTTCTGAACATCGGTGATTCACTTCTCAGATTCTCGCTTCCTCTGTGTAATATGTTATTGTCAGATATCAAGGTATCCCATGCGATCCAAGATACAGCTTGTTGGATATATGAAGAGCTTTCCAATTTTCCTGCCCTGTCAACAAAATGCGCAGCCTCTGTGAGAGCTCAGTTACAACAGTAACCTCGTAGTGTTTTCATCAACAGTACAGTTCTGTACTTCTTGAGACCTAGTTTCCTCCTGATGCGTAATCTGTGAAACTGTTCTAGTCTCTCACGAGTCTGTAACGTCATTAAAGATCAAAGAAATTTGGTAAACTACGAAGTTCGAGAAAGGAGCACCGATCCAAGGTTGCAAACCCATTCCGCGAAAATTCCCAAATAGGCTTCAAGTTAGTATTTTCACCTGAAGATTCGTCCACAATAACCATCATCAAAATCTATGGGGTAACAGCACTCAATTGTAGTATGTTTGAAGGTGGTTGACAATGTTTCGTGGCTCATTTCATCAGTTCGGACTTCCATTGTTTAATATGATATAAATTGATCAGAAATCCCTGAAAAATGATGTAAAAACAAATTAAAAAGATTAGCTGAAAAATAATAATAACAATAATAATTATATTAGGCAAAAAACTTAAATTACAATGGAATAACATACAAACAAAAGCTACAAACAAAAAATAAAGAAATTTGAACTATCAACACGAGCTGAAAATTAAAAATTCTTGACAAGAAAATGAGAATTAAAAAAAATTAAAAGATTCCAAAGCAGGTTACTTCACGACGTTTCGATTGTTAGTATCCACAATCGTCTTCGGGTGATAACTGGTGAGATACGTGGACGACACCTTCATAATATGGAACCATGGGAATGCAAAACTAGACACTTTCCTGAAGCACATCAACAAAGTGAGTCCTTCCATCACTCTCACAATGGAGAAGGAAGTCCACAACGAATTGCCTTTCTTAAACGTATTGGTGAAAAAGTCCGACACTAATGGGAAACATCTGTATATCGAAAACCCACTCACACGGAACAGTATCTGAACCAGGAATCTATCCACCATCAATCGACTAAGAGAGGGATCATCGATACTCTACTAGACCGTGCTTCTAGGCTGTGTAATACAAAAGAAGGTCTCAAACAGGAACAAGGCATCATCAACGGAATGGTTACTCCAGAGTGATGGTGGAACAGCCTTTAACTAGACGACAGCAAGAGCTCCACTAGAGAGAGAAGCTGCCACATCCAGTACTTGTACTTCCCTACATCAGAGGATTGTCGGAAAGGATGAGAAGGATTGGGTCCAAATATAACATCAGAACGTGCTTCAGATCTGGGATCATTATCCGTAGCAGCCCCACGGAAACCAGGCCACCAAAGGCGGACTGCGATTCCAAGAATTGCATTTACCGGATACCCACCGATATATCGGTGAAACTGAGAGGCCATTAAAAGTTCTCATTGCCGAGCACAAGAAACACACACAGCGAGGAGAAACCAGCAAATTCGGAACAGCAGAGCATGTTTGGGCTCATCAACATAACATCAAGTGGGCTCAAGCTGAAATCATCCACAAGGAGGAACAACGCAGCCGCATATATGTTGTCCAACAACGCATTCAGCCAAGCTAGTGTAGAGATACGCAACATATGGAAACCTCTAATCAAGCGGAACGCGACCAACTCTCGCCTAAAAACCTTCTCTATGGTACATGGTACATGTCAAGTTTCATCACGATCGGTTGAGCAATGTAGAATCCGCAAAAACAATTTATCATTAATGTTTGGCGTAGTATATTTAGTGGCAGAATTATCGGTCCATTTTTCTACCACGGTTCTTTGAACGGACCCCGTTACATCAATTAATTTATTAACAAGAGTGTTGGAAGAGTTTTTCGATGATATTGATCTGGAGGCTCGTCAGATGATCTATTTTCAGCAAGATGGAGCCCCGGCACATAATTTCAGTGACGTAAAAAGAATGTTGCGAGACTGTTTTTGAAACAGATGGATTGCTACAAATGGTCCTCTCAAGTGGCCTTCTCGTTCACCAGACAAAACCCTCTCGATTTTTATTTTTGGGGATTTCTGAAAAATGAGGTGTACAAAATGAAAAATAATAATGTAGATGAACCGAAAAATAATCAATAGAGTTGATGGCCGACTGTGTTGAAAGCAGCACATAGTGTCAAGAGAAGGGCCCAAATATGTGTTCAAGAAAGCGGCGTTTTTGAATATTCACTCGATATTTTGTAGCTCTTCATTCGCCAAAACAAAGAAATTTTTTGTAACAGTGAAAGAAATAAATATATCCACATAAATCGCTCATTTCCAACTCGAGGAAGCTATGAGCTTTGTTGTTGAGAATGTTATTACGATTCGAAGTGCATGATAAAATATTGGGAGTTCCATTTAAAAAAAATATCATTTTATGTTATATTTTGAAAACACGACTGTCATTTTTCTTTATTTTCGGTATCGAGAAAGCCAATAAAAATGCTATTAGTTTGCTCATTTAACCAAATTCGTAGTATCAATAATAACGGATTTGGCAATGGTGCCGACTTAATTTGGAACACCCTGTATGTTTTCTCCGGTTTTTCTATTGATACTAGAGAATTGATTTGGGTCGCAGAATTCCCCACTTCTTTGGTGTTAGGCGTGGTTTTGTCCCTAATGGTAGATACAAGAGCAGTTGAGTCCAGGAAGCCAATATTCATCAACTGATTTCCACTTCCTTTCGATTGAAATTATTTCTGTTATTTTGTATAGTAAGTCTCAATTCTGAAACATTAATCGCCTTGTACATCTTTTGACCTTCACCTGAATAATTATAAATATCTCCTAGACAATTATCGCTTATCTTCACAAAAAAACAAATTAATGTAAATTACAGATAATCACGAACTATTTGAACATCAGTTATAACGAAAGCCTCTAAACCTGCTGAAATTCAATGGAGTAGTTTGCTAATGAGAGTGTTTAACGAATTGATGTTGATAACAGTCAAACATGAGCAATCCGAACACGGGAGATAACAAATAGACCAGTTCAAAAATGGTGAAAAGTGAAGAAAATAATAGTAGGATGAAACCCATCAGAAAAGGAGGGGGATATGATAAAAATCGAAAGAAAAATAAATTACAACCGATCTGAGTTCGGAAAATGGGAGAGGGTTTATCCCGATTTCCGGCAAAACTATGGAAAAAAGTAGATGGCAAAGTTGTAGGTAATAAAAAGATCTATAACCTTTGTATCCACAATTTTTTCACATAATCTCAAAATTTTATGTGAAAAATTCAAATAACCAAGTTTTTATTTTTTTATTCTTATTTTTTATTTTACGGAATTTGGTGGAAACTTACCTTTTCATGTCCCAAATACACTGTCATTCGATGAAAACTCACCTTTTCCATGTCACAAATACACTGTA